ATATAAAACTTTTCTTCCAAACTCGATATCGATGGATAGAATCGATTTTTGATTGACGGTGCTGCCGAACGCCATTCACCAATTATCGCCATTTTCCTTATCTCTAAAACTTTGCCTTCGTTAATCCAATTATCCTTATGTCTCTCGCTATTTTACAATAATAGATATCGATATCGGTTGATAAATCGGTTATTCGAATATATAAAACTTTTCTTCCAAACTCGATATCGATGGATAGAATCGATTTTTTGACGGTGATGCCGAACGCCATTCAATTATCGCCATTTTCCTTATCTTTAAAATTTTGCTTCTACCATTAATCATTAATGACACATGCATCTCGTTATTTTATAATATCGGCTGATAAATCGGTTATTCGAACAATATTTGACTTTTTTTCCAAACTGGTCGATCGATATCGGTGGATAGAATCGATTTTTTAACGGTGCTATCGAACGCCATTCAATTATCGCCGATCGAATATCGGTTGATAAATCGGTTATTTGAATATATGATTATTCTTTTAAACTGATCGATCGGTATCAATGGCATGGATAGAATCGATTTTTCGACGGTACTGCCAAATCATTCACCGATCACCGCCATTTTCCTTATCTCTAAAATCTTGCCTTCGTTAATCCAATATCTCGCTACATTTTGTTATAATAGATATCGATACCGCTTGATAAATCGGTTATTCGAACAATATATGACTTTTTTTCCAAACTGGTCGATCGATGTCAATGGATGGAATCGAGTTTTCGACGGTGCTGTCAAATCCCATTCACCGATCTCCATCTTTAAAATCTTTAAAATCTTGCTTCTACTTTCATTAATGACACATGCATCTCGTTATCTTACAATATCGGTTGATAAATCGGTTATTCGAATACATAAAATATAAAATATATTTCCTCCCAAACTGATCGATTGGTATCGATGGATGAAATCGATTTTTTCGACCGTGCTGTCGAATCTCATTCACCGATCTCCGCCATCTTTAAAATCTTAAAAATCTACCTTTATTAATCATTAATGACACACGTATCTCGTTCTCTTACGATATCGTTTGATAAATCGGTTATTCGAATATATATAAAAACTTTCCTCCCAAACTGATCGATCGGTATCGATAGAATCCGTGATTTTCCTAGTTTCGATCGATATCCGGTGAAACAAACTCGTTAAAATTTGACGGACCGGTAGTTGATAGAGTGGCGAACGAATGGCGAAGATAATAGGTGAATAAGGGCGGTAATGAGGACAGTATATAAGTATTGTATCGCGTCTCGAAGCGGAAAGAGAGAAAGAGAAAGAGAGAGAGAGACAGAGAGAGAAAGAGAGGGGTCGGTGAACTCTGAACGGGACGATCGATGCCAAGGGGTGGATGTACCATGCAGGCTGATCGCATTGTCGCCAGCGCTAGATGCACCCGCGCAATAATCAATAATTTCGTAAATAACGACGACGAGCGAATAGGGGTAACGCGGAAACGATTTTGGCCTATCGAATCCCGTGTATACAAAATGTATATATATATATACATCGAACGAAACGAACACGCGAAAATAATCATTAAATCGTTCTCTCATCAATTTCTAACGCAACGTAATATACAATTTGACGTAACCCTTTGAAGTTCGTTTTAATAGCCGTTACGAACCGATACGATTATAATAGATCTTTCTCCATCTCCGGCGAAGTTGTTTTCGTGCACAACGTAACGTGCATTGACGTGCACGACGACGGAAATTTTCACCCATGATCTCGATATTATTACGTTTTACACGTGTCACAATACAGGGGACATTACATTACATACATTCGAAACACGTTGCAATCTGGAAACGCAACGCGACGTGACATGTAACAGCTGTCGCCCGTGTATTTTATTAATGTCGTACCGCGACCAAGGATCGATGTAATTAGAATTAGATTTTAATCGAAAAGTATAAGGGCGTTTAAATTTCTGACGCTGTATGTAACGGGGGAGAGATAGTAGGGAGCAACGAGCATATAACAGCATATAACAGTATCCCTCTGCGAGGACATTGGATTTACGTAACGATCCGGTATTATTGTTGTTGGCTGCATACAATTTACTTGTTGTTTCGTAAAAAAAAAAAAAAAAAAAAAAAAAAAAAAAANNNAAAAAAAAAAAAAAAAAAAAAAAAAAAAAAAGAAGGGGAAAAAAAGACAAAAGTCTACTCAACGACCTTGCTCAATCTTCACTTCCCTCTCCCTCGTCATCGATGTCGAATTTCTGTCCCGAATCCCTTTGACTCGTAACGCGTCATCATAATATAATTGTATTTTGTCGAGGATAAAATTAGAATCGGTTCTGTTGCCCGTTTTCGTACCAGTTCGTACGTCGATATTCAAATTTAGAATTTGGATGGAGGATAATCTCGCTAATCTCTTTTCGTATTCGTTCGGGTGGAATTAGAATCGATCTAGACTCTCAGACAGGCGTAGAGTATCGTATACATACGGAATATAAGAAACGATAAGTCGATTGCGCTCGTTCGAAAAAAGATTCACACACGCAATTCGTGACGATATTACTTAAAACATGCGGACGTAATAAAAAAACAATACTTTTTCATACCTATACCACGCCAAATCAATCCCATACGCACAGGACTTGCATTTGTTTTGTACCGCCTATAGCGATTCACGAGCACGTACACATATTTATATAACATAAGTGGGTAGAAAACGATTATTCGGAGTGCGATCATTCCTACGTCCATTCTTATTACATAATTGGATTTATGGAGTAACGACGAGTCGCGTAACTAACTCGACGGCGATGGATTCCCGCTAACGAATAGATAAACAATCGTGCATAGATAAAACCGTGAAAATCCATCGAAGAAGAAATAGAAAAGAAGGAAAAAAATATGTTTGCGTTCAAATAGTTTTATTATAATAAAATAACGGATCTAAAGATACAAGAAAAAAAAAAAATGGACGAAAGATCGAACGATTCGATGATACGATTCGAAAACAAGAAAGCGTACAAAAATGAGATTATTTCTCTCTCTCTCTTTCTCTCTCTCTCCCTTTTTCCTTTTCTTTCTAAATGAAAATACGAAACGATCGATTCGATTCGACCTCGGTCCGCCTACTACTTAGACCCGATCCAGAAACCTCGTTCACCTCAGCTCGATTAGATCACGTAGCTTTTGTAAAGGTAGGAGGCAGCAGGCGCGTAACCAACCGAGATGGACGCCGGGTAGTTGGGGTAGAGAAGCGGCGAGCCGATGCTGGAGATGACGGGTGATGGCAATGGAGCGGCCGGCAGCGGGGCGGCGGAGAGCAGAGCGGCCTGTGCGAGAGGCGAGGGTGTCGGCGCCGGAGCCGGGGCTGGGATCGGAGCCGGCGTTGGCGCGGCCAACGCAACGGCCAACAATCCGGCGAGCAACAGCTGCGCTCGAAACAACACTCTCGGAAATTAGTACCATTAGACCACCCTTACCTCGACGCGACGAGTAATCTCGCTCACTCACCGTTCTCAACATGTCTTGTTTTCGAGCCACCACGTATGGGACGATTACGCCTCGATCGGCGAGGGAACGCCGCTTATATAGGGCGCGAAAGATTCTCTCATCTTTCTTTTGCATCCCCTACCTTTTATCCTATACCCAACACGATGTAACGCGAAGGGCAACGGCAGGGAAGCTTCTTCTTCTTCTTGTTGGCGGATCGAATCTTTTTTTCAACCGCTCGACCAATCCTCCTCTCGGAGGGGAGCTCTTCTCTTTCCGAGCAACGATTTCCCGGCGACTAACTAACGTGGTCTCAACCTCAAGGTCGAGCGGGGATCCAGGCGCCGCGTCCCAACAATACGCGTCATTTCCTTCTTTTTCATCGAGCAAGCCTGCGTTCGAGCAACTTCCCCCTCCGCAGAACAGGTTTTCCCCTTTCGAGCCGCGTCGTCCTTCGAAAAACGATTTACGATCGTTTACAAATATCGTTTAACGACTTGCCAACGACAAAGAGTACAAAGGAGTAGGTTTGAACTAGATCGAAATTGTTGTATTAACGTCCGGATCGTTTATCCGTGCTTGCGTATATACGTTCGATTTTCAGTTTCCTTGGACGAAAGTTGAGGAAAATTGTGTGAAGTACGAAAGGAAATGTAGACGGAGGAATACGAGATATCGGAATAGTCGTTTATCTAGTTCGAAAGTCGGATATAAAATTGGAATCGACGAAGTTTTCGAATATTAATTAATAATGGGAAGAACGCGTGTGTACGTATTCCCCTCTATGGAGACACACGAGACCACACCTTTGCCTTAAAAAGAAACCGGGCGTTCGCCGATCTCGGACCCCAGACGAACTTGAACTTGAGAAAAAAAGCGTCTGTTTGTTGCCTTGAAGTTGTCCAGCCTTGTCCAGCCCGACTCGAGATAAAGATGGAAAGTGCGAAGCAAGTCAAGACAGGGAAGAGACGCTCTAGTCTGTGACTAGATCCGGTACATATAATAAATGAAGAGGCGATCGAAATCGACATATTTCTTTCTCTCTTTCTTTTTGATCGAGTTAAATAAAGATATATATATATATATATACAGATTTAGAATCGGGACGAATTGTCGAAAGGAGGCCGACAAAGAGAAGAAAGAAGCAAGACAGAAGAACGAAGAACGACGAAAGATTAAACGAAAATACTTGCTTATGATGTATCGTGTGGGAAGCGCACAACGATCCGCGTAATTACTCGACGTTATAACCTTGTTACACGTTCCGGCCGGACAGCTCCACACGTAGTCGAAACGATTATACAATTGCTGCCTGGCTTTACGTAATATCACGATACCCCCGCGCAATACGTCCGCCCTGTGTTTTTCTTTCGATCAAGGTCATCGAAATCGATCGATCGCGTTTGTTGCGAGCTTGTGGCTAGGTTACAAACGCGAGCGGTTTGAAAATATTGGACGGGAGGGGGGAGGGGTGACGCGCGTGAAAACGCGACGCTTCGAGTCCGGCATTCGAAATGCGGCTCGAAAGGAGAGGACTTTCGTAAACGAACCGCGCATCCACTTTTCGTAAGCGAACCTCCACCCGCGGAGGATCGGTATAAAGAGAGGACGCTTCCACGGCCTCTTCACTCGTCTCTCGACAACCGAATCGAACAAAGCGGGCTGAAAAATGATGAAGACAGTGGTGAGTGATGAAAAAAATCTCCTCTCTATCTTGTCGCTCCTTATCCTTATCGACATTTTCTTTATCGTTGTTATTCCCCGATTTTTCAGTGCGTCGTACTCCTGGTTGCGGCGGTGGCGTCCGCCGGATTGGTCCCCGCCGCCCCTTTGGCCGTGGCCCCAGCTGTTGCCGCTGTTCCAGCGCCCATCGTCACCGCTAGAAGCAGTCAAGTCGTGGCCAGGAATTACAACACGTTGGCCGCCGCGCCGCTCGCGGCCGCCCTACCCGCGGCCGTCGCCGCGCCATTGCACGCCGCGTACCCACCGGTCGCCGTGGCAGCGGCTCCGCTTCACGCGGCACCGCTCCCGTACGCAGCGCTCAACTATCCCGCTGTTGCCATATAATTCGTTCCCCTAAATACGATCGTCGGACCTGTTGCTACTTAAGTTTCTCCGTTTTTATGAAATAAATTGCAATTTGAAACAAATAGACATTCTTCGATTCTTACTTCTCCTTCCTATATTCTTATTCCTGTGTATTCTATTTTAACAAAAAAAAAATACGATTATTGGACCTGTTGCTACTTAAGTTTCTCCGTTTTTATGAAATAAATTGCAATTTGAAACAAATAGACATTCTTCGATTCTTACTTCTCCTTCCTATATCCTTATTCCTGTGTATTCTATTTTAACAAAAAAAAAAAAAAAAAAAGAGTAGGAGATAGGATACTTAATTGCAAAAATATTTAATAGAGATATTTAATAAGTGAATCGAATAAAAGTTGAGAGTTTGAACAAGTAAGAAGTCGTTTGAATCAGTTTTTCTACTGTAATAATCGAATTTTTGCTAGATATATAATGCAATATAATTTAATTCTTCCAAGATTTTCTATACTACTTCTACTATTGTACAGATAAATTTGTTATGTGTGCATCTTAAAAATATATGTATATATTATCATTATCATTTATATGGAATAAACGATTTTTAAGAATTTAACGATATTGTTCTTTAAAAAAAAAAAAAAAAATGTTCACGTTTTTTCTACGTGCCTCCTCTTTTCCAAATCGTTTCCAAATGATCAGGTTAATTATACCTGTGTGGGAGGGAAATTAGATTTCTCTTTCTCTCTCTCAGATATGACACAAAAAAGAAATAGGGTTACACCGCAGAATTCGATACGACGTTCTATATCGGATGGATCGAAAGAAAGTTGATGAACGAAGACAGTCGTTCCCAGTAGGAAATTCGACTCACGTTTAACGAACGATCTTCGAAACTTGCTATGTCCCAATCGTTGTAAACGCAAGTACGCACGACCGCGTTTAAAACAAGCATGGCCGCACCCAACATATATTACCCGTGAAACTGAAATTTCGAACATCGAATGCCTCTACCACCATTAATTTTAATCGCATCTTTGCATACGCGAGAGCGTGAAAATATACATAATAAACATTTCCTGTTCTCTCCTATCTCCTAGAACGTAAACATAATTAAACACTATTTACGAAGAAACCTATTTATAGCTGCGTATCCTCGAATCGTCATTTCAATATCACCATTCCCCTTTAATTATATTATAACAATAATAATAATCTCTATAACAATAATATATAATAATATATCTCTAATAATATAATAATAATCTCTTTAAAAAAAGAACAGAAAAGCAATTAAAATCTGAATTTATCGAGTTTTTCTCCCGCGATCTTCTATCTTTACGAGATATGACAGTGGAGGAACAAAGAACGTTTCGAAGGCAATCGTATCCGAAGGATACCAAGGAGTCGCGTGGCGACATCGGGATAGAAAAGGTCACGAAAAGAGAAGAGGAAGAAGAAGAAGAAGAAGAAGAAGAAGAAAAAGAAGGTTATTTAGATTTGGAGACAGTTACCGTTGGTAATCGGCAGGCGTGGCCTAAAACGAGCAAAAGTAATCCGGTATGCAGGAGCGTGCTCCTGGTCGCATCGTGCCACGAACCAATGTTGCGAACAAATATACTCGTAGTGGGAGTAGATTGCCGGACGAAACTCGCTATAAAAGACCCCCTGGCTAATCCGTCGTAGTACAGTTGTCCATTGCGACTCGCTCGAAACCCATTCGAGATCTTAAACGTAATTAAAATGTTCGCCATGAAATTCTTGGTAAGTTGGATGAGAAGCTTTATGAATTATCAATTGATTTCGATCGATTTTGTTTATTTTCTTCTTTTTTTTTCCCCTCTCTCTCGAAAAAATAAAAAAGGTTCTGCTCGCCGGATTGGTCGCCGCGTGTTCGGCCGGCTTGATACCAGCCGCTGTCCCAGCCGCTGTCCCAGCAGCGTTCGCAGCGGCACCGGTCCCAGCAGCTTTGACGGTCGGAACCTACGCGACCAGCTACAACGCGCACGCTGTTAATCACGCGGTCGCCGCACCGTACATCGCCAGCCCTGTAATCGCCCACGCCGCGCCACTCGCCTATTCCAGCCTTCCCGCGGCGGCTTTGGTTGCCGGCAGGCGCTGAGAATTCTCAGGCGTCACGATTCGAGGACAATTCGTTCGGGGAAACATCCGGTTACGGTTTCCAACGGTGAGATCGACCTTGGCGATATTCCACCGCGAATTTCCACCAACCAACGGCAGTGAGATCGAGTTTGGATCTTGCCTAGGCGACCCGTCATCGATCTTCGAACAATGGATACCGATTACGTTTCCGCCGTGTTTCCCTCTCTCGTTTTATCCTTGTCCTTCCTCCTTTTTTTCTTTTCCTTGTTGTTACCGTGCTGAACACTTTCGTATTTGCGAAAAAAAAAGAAAAAGAAAAAGAAACGAATAAAAAAGATTTTTATCCCTGTAACAAAATTTTCTGTACTTTATTTCTTTTCGTATCCTCGAGAAATTAACGATAAGAAATTATATTTCGATCGTACGGGGGAGGGAGAAAGGGGGAGAGGGAGGAGACAAAGAACGACGAACGTGAAGTTGGCGGGATAAATGATATGTGAGACAAAAGATTCCAAGGCAACCGGGAAACAAACGACAACTCGTTGATTTCGTCGCCGATTTTTTTTCTTGATCGTACGTACGCTCAGGACAAACTCTTTGTTTCAGGCTAATTTCTCGAGTATTGTAGAAAAATATAGTGCCGATAGAATAGCAAAGATAGAGGGAATCGAGCGAAAAGTGTTCGCGAGTAACGAAATCGTGTCGGGAACAGTGTGTAGAAATCGAAGATCGAAAAAATGCGTGAAATTGCCCATCTCCAAGCTGGTCAATGCGGCAATCAGATAGGAGCCAAGGTATTTTTCCTAACAAATTCGAAACAATTTTATCACTATCTCTTCCCCTTCCTCCTTCTTATCCTCATCTTATTTTTTCTTCTCTCTCTCTCTCTCTCTCGTTTTGGGACGCACAGTTTTGGGAGGTGATCTCCGACGAGCACGGTATAGATCCAACCGGCACCTACCACGGTGACTCCGATCTCCAGCTGGAACGCATAAACGTTTATTACAACGAAGCGTCGGGAGGGAAGTACGTTCCAAGAGCGATCCTGGTCGACTTGGAGCCGGGGACAATGGACGCGGTACGCTCCGGCCCGTTCGGCCAGATATTTCGGCCGGACAATTTCGTTTTCGGGCAGAGCGGCGCCGGGAACAATTGGGCCAAAGGCCACTACACCGAAGGCGCTGAACTCGTCGACTCGGTCCTCGACGTCGTCCGGAAAGAGGCCGAAAGTTGCGACTGTTTGCAAGGATTTCAGTTGACTCATTCCCTCGGTGGTGGAACAGGAGCTGGAATGGGAACGCTGCTTATATCCAAAATTCGTGAGGAATATCCGGATAGAATTATGATGACGTTCAGCGTGGTACCTTCTCCGAAGGTACTTATTACGAGGCTTGTTGCTCCTTTATTTTTTTCCTTTTTTTTTTCATTTTTATATTAAAATCGCGATGGCGCGATTTTTGCGCAGGTATCCGACACGGTGGTCGAACCCTATAACTGCACTCTGTCGGTGCATCAATTGGTTGAAAATACAGACGAGTCTTATTGTATCGATAACGAGGCCCTGTACGATATTTGCTTCCGTACGTTGAAGTTAACGACACCGACTTACGGTGATTTGAATCACTTGGTGAGCGCAACGCTTAGCGGAGTGACCACGTGTTTAAGATTTCCTGGACAACTAAACGCCGACTTGCGTAAACTCGCTGTAAATATGGTACCCTTCCCCAGATTGCATTTCTTTATCCCAGGTTTCGCACCCTTAACGTCCAGGTGCGGTATCTAATGTTTCTAAATTTAACTTGAATTATATAGTTATTATACATATATATATATATATACATATACATATAAAAGGAAAAAAAGAAATCTTGTCTCGAACAATATCGTTCGTATCGTTTCCTTTCGAAACAGAGGTTCGCAGCAATACAGAGCTCTAACGGTCCCGGAACTCACGCAACAAATGTTTGACGCGAAAAACATGATGGCGGCGTGCGATCCTCGCCACGGTCGTTACCTGACCGTGGCAGCCGTCTTTCGAGGGAGGATGTCGATGAAGGAGGTGGACGAACAAATGCTCAATATTCAAAATAAAAACAGTAGTTATTTCGTGGAATGGATTCCTAGTAACGTTAAGACTGCCGTGTGCGACATTCCCCCTCGCGGGTTAAAAATGTCGGCAACTTTCATTGGGAATTCAACGGCGATTCAGGTAAAACTCGGGCGAGAAATATTTCGATCGAGCGAGAATAGAAAAAAAATAAAAAAAAAAAAAAATTTTGTATCCCGTTTGAAATTCCCGTAGGAATTGTTCAAGAGAGTATCGGAACAATTCACGGCGATGTTCAGGCGGAAAGCTTTCCTGCATTGGTACACGGGAGAGGGGATGGATGAAATGGAATTCACCGAGGCTGAGAGCAATATGAACGACTTGGTCTCCGAGTACCAGCAATATCAAGAGGCTACCGCCGAGGAAGAAGGCGAGTTCGACGAAGAAGAAGAGGGTGAGGGTGAACACCCGTAAAAGTTGAATTGCCTTTTAAAAAGAAAATATATATATAGTATAAATTTCGTTCCTTATGAAAAAGTGCCTGTATCACACGAATTAGTATTGCGTTTAAAAATAGATTTCTCTCCTTAACACGTTCGAATCTTCCACCTCACCTTTTCAACGACTATCTTACTACTCAATCTGTCCTCTTAAGTCAGCGTTTATTGTAACTTTAAAAAAAACACATCGAAATACGTTTTTTCAATATATTATGTAAAATCGACCACCAATAAGATTTTTTCTTGGCAAATTGTTTTTAATAAAAATCCACCGATTAATCGGCTACGGCTATGTAATAATCGAAACCTCGTTTCCATTGATCCGTTTCATCGGACAGTTTTGTTATTGTTGTTGTTTCTTATCCGCGTGTTCATCTATCCGCGCATGCGTCTTTCGCACGTTTTTTGCGCGTCTGCCTCGTCCGCGAAATAAACGGCCGCCGGTGGATCGTCGAGCGGTGAAAGCATGAGTCGAAATCTTCAACGAATCATCGAGCGTCCTGCGAAACGAAACAGCGAAACGAAAACGCGGATAGTATTGTCAACGGTATATCGTTATACTCGAGGCGATTCTTTTCATCGTGCCACCACCACCGTTCTACATTCGATCGGTCGAGGTCTCTCCTCGAGATTACTACATTCGCGGTTGGCGAGCCACGAACAGAGACCGTACACACAACGTTGCAGAAATCTCTCCTGCTTTGCAACGCGCTGCGTTTATCGTCTCTGCGCATCTTTTCGCCTCTTTCGTTCGTAATTCGTCCCCTTTCCCCTCCCTCCTTCCATCGTTACATACAATTCCATCTTTATCCCTTGTCCCTATGTGCTCTTACCGAACGTAACGCAAATTATATTATTACGTACGTAAAACCGTATCGAATCTAATATATAACCGTAAGTATTTGCATCGAACAGGTGCTAATAAGCAACGGTTACGTGAATGTAAATATAACCAAAGCGGATGAGAATAGACTGCGAATATCGATTACTGGAAATCTGCTTGTCGAAGCGAGAAGAATTTGGTTCGTTCTCGTCGAAGAGAAGGGCGGTCGCGAACAGAAGATTTTTTCGTTTATTATAATTCGAATAATTATAAGTGATATATATACGCGCGACGTGATGCGTTTGCTCTATTTTACCGACAAATACCGAGAAGTCATACGGGATCATCGCGTATACGCGAATAACGTAGAATTTTTTTTTTCTTCTTTTTCTGTTTGAAATATATCGTTCTCGATCTCTCAATGAAACCTCGAGTGATTGGATTCCGAACGATGGCAGCCACTTTTATAGCGGAGCATCCCCCTTCCCTAACGACCGACTGGTTAACTTTTGACGAGAGCCTCGAAAATCCTGTCTGGTGGTGCCGTAATCCGAAAGTCTTTGCACGATATCCGACGTGAGGCCAAGGCCTTCCGGATTTGGGCGTTGCCTAGGCTCATGGTTATCGGCGATCTCTCATCGGAGTCCTCCGCCGATCTTTCCATTCCCAAAAGCTGCAGAGAAACGAGCAAGGACGAAAAAACGGGAGAAAATGAAAGATAAAAAAAAAAAGAAAAAAAAAAAAAAAGAAAGAAAGAAAAAAAAAGTGTAAGCTCGTGGAGGACGAACTTTGTCGTTGGACGGCGTTCACCACGACGTGAAGAGCGGGGGGAGGGGGAGGCATTTACGAAACGCGACCTTGCCGCGAAATACGCGACCAGTCAGTTGTCGCGTATGACAAAAAAAGATTAACGAAACGAGGGAAAGGGAAAAGATACGAGGTGGACCGATTCCGGAAAGAACACGATCGCCTCGTAAATTATCAGAGCACGCCATGCGAAGTCAAGTTGGATCGCTTCGTTTTCGTAATTCGATTTTTCTTCCTTTCTTTTTCTTTCTTTTCGTTTTTTTTTTTTTCTTTTCATTCCGAAAATGAGTAAATATCCTAAATTAATTACGAATTGTTATTTCTAAACGATGCATTTTCGGTACGAAGTAACGAAGTGGGCGTTAAAACACGGATTACCAATCCGTTACTCAATCTAATCGCCGTTCCAAGTAAAAAAGCCTATGTGTATAACGTAATCGGTATCGGTATTAACTTCGATCGCATCGGTATTGATAGCGTTACGTTAACGTAGAAATAGAGATCTGATTACGAGATGGGGATTCGCGCGTATTATTAATTAACGAACGGTCGGTTAATTAGTAGAAATTATCTCGAAATACAAGTGGGCTTCGACCATTATAGACATTTGTCCGTACCTCTTACGATACCTTACGGTGCTATACTTGTTCGCGAATTCGTTCTCCCCCTCCCTCCGTTTGTCGACGAGACGAGTCGAGGAGATCAGTTGTTATCGGGCGGGTATCGAAAAAGAGAGCGACCAGGATCTTTCGAGCACGCGGATCCAGATCGAGGCGCGCGAAAGGCCTTGGCAATGCTCTCTCTCCACGCGCGCGAAGGTACGAAGCGAAAAACGCAAGGACCCTGAATACAACGGCGAGCCGTTGAAGGTAAAACGCGTAAGTGGTAGAGGATAGCGTTCGTTCGAGAAACGAAGCCGGGTCGAATCGGATGGAATGGAGTGCGCGCGTTCTTGGGTGGGAGAGGTCAAGTCGGACGAATAAAAGGGCAGCCGCTCGACTGGTCAAGCATCATTCGACTGTCAGCGATCTCAGCCGCTATCCCCAGTACGAATTTCTCGAGCCGTTTTTCTCTCGTCGAGTAGAAACGACACGACTGCAGCAACCATGTACAAATTCGTCGCTCTGTTCGCCCTGTTCGCCTGCGCCCTGGCCGCTCCAGCACCGGAACCAGCACCAGGCTTCTTGGCACCAGCCGTCCACGCCGCGCCCGTGGTCGCCGCTGCCCCGGTCGCGGTCGCTCACACCCTTCCGGTCGCCACCAGCTACGCCAACACCTACAAAGTATCGGTGAAGAGCCCGCTCGTTGCGGCAGCTCCCTACATCGCCGCCCCCGTGGCCACCGCCGCCGTCGTCAAGACAGCCGCACCGCTCGTCGCCGCTGCACCAGCCGCGGCCGTGTACGCTCACGCACCGGTCGTCGCCACGTACTGAATCCACCCAACTGCGACGTCTCCGCACCTCAGCCGTTCTAGTCGATCGTGCTTTTTCCAATCGCGGTATTCTCCTCCCCCTCCCGATCATCTCACCTGGAATCGGACATGATTCGAAAATCAAAGCTGTCGACTATTAATTTTCGTCAATAAATTTTTGCTAATTTTCATTCACCTATGCGTTTTTTGTCATTACCCGATTCTTTCCATTGTTTCCTGGTATTTTTTTTTTTTTCTCCTTTCTTTCATTTATTTTTCGAAATTTATTAATTTCGAGATCGATGTAAATCTATGTAAATAACTGTTGAGATCGATAAGTTTACGAGATGAGAAAATTTAGGGATATAATGTTTAGGGAGAAAATGGTTAATCCTTCGAGCATTCTAGAAAGTTCTTTGGTCTCGAGTTTAAGGACGAGCAAAATATGTACCTAGATCGCCCTGCGAACCGGTTACAATCGCCAAGTGGATTTTTGTCGTCCGAACAGGTACCGCCCTTATCCCTTCTTCACGTGGGTGCATCGACACCAGGATTTTACGCAAAATCTCGGTGTTTTATTTTTTTCAAAACTTTTAACTTTACGCGATTAAGCGTTGTTGAAAGCGAATTTTCAGAATTTTATTTATTTATTTATTTTTTTTTTTTTTTCATATCAGTTCAACGTATCGATCATCGTTGAATCGATTTTCGATGGAAGACAATTTTCATTATAACTCAATGGCAACATATTACGTCACAAGTTTTCGACGCCCGCTTATGTCAATCAATCCACGCGATACTCGTTCCGTCCAAGCTTACGTTTCGATTTTCGTGCCTCGACAATTCTATTCTCCGTTCTATTCTTTGTCCTTTGTGAAGGATTCTCTCGATCTAAAATTAAACGTTACATCTTAACTCTTATAGAAGAGTTTTCAGCAGCGTATCGAGCAGCGATTAGCATTCGATCGTGCTGCCTGCACCGATTTAATTAAATTTCGATCGAAATCCTTCCCGTTCTTTATTCTGGTCAATTTTTCTGGTGGAGCTGGTAGTCGGGGAAAAAAATATTCCCTAAGATTTTTCATGCACGCCCGTTCAAGGTGAAGCCACGTTACAGGATAAGTCCCGCCCCTGAAGTCAAAGAGGAATACAACAAACATGTGTAGGGAACGAAGACGGGTTTCCTTTTTACGGCACCTCCAAGATCTCTATAAGTAGGAGAGATTCCCCTCGATCCACGGTCAGAAATAAACGAGCTTTTGTGCGCGCAAATCTCGGATTCATCATGCTGAAATTCGTGAGTAAAACGAAAAATTTTCCTTTTTTTTTTCTTTACGCGAATCATTTACTTGGATCTCGTAGATATAATAATTTTCGCGTCAACCTCCCCCTAAGAAAAGAAATCGTCGATTCCTTCAGGTCGTTCTCGCTGTCGCGATCGCCACGGTTGACGCCGCTCCAACGTCCTCGTCGCCAGCTAAAACGGAGAGTCCGCCAATCCCGACACTGCCTGCATTACCGATTTCTTCGGAATCAGCCGCAACGTTGACACCGCCACTCTCATCCGCATCTGCCAAATCTCTGAGCATGATGGCCGACGTAAAAACACCGGCCTCCACGACCAAACTGGCCAACTTGGCACCCCTGGCGACACCACTAGCCGCGGCACCCATTCTCTCACCTCTACAGGTCTGTAAAGTTGTTCGATCGAGCAGCTACTCATCCAATCGTTTCTCGTTTCTGTTACACGCGCAAGGTAACTCTGTTTCCTTTTTTCCAGATCTCGGCGTACGCTTACGCCTTGCCAGTTTTACCTCCGATCGAAGTGGCGGCAGCACCTTCCACTTACTCGATCGAACAGCACGGTTATCGTATTATCTACTGACGTCACTCGTTCTTGGATTCGGGCGGTAACTGGATCTAGCCAGTACCAACGTGCAGAATACGACTTCTTCCTTCTCATAGATTATTCTCATGTATCTTATATCGATAAATTTGTTCGGCAAACCACGAAATATATAGTTAAATATCAATTCGTAAAATCAAAATATTCGTTCGAATACTCGTACCGCCCTTCCTTGCCTACTTCCTTAAACGTGAATCGAAATCGAAAGTGAAAATAGACATCGCTTTCTCTGCGCCAACTCTTTCACACGTGTCATATGAAAACGATACGCGAGGAATAATAATATTCATCTATCATAATACGTAATCTTTAATTTAATGTTTAGAAAAAAGAATTTTCGGTGTAAATATAATTCGTAACGATTTCGATATTTGCCTCTTGCCTTTTCCCTCTGGTTTTCCCCAGTACTTTCGAAAATGCAAGCGGATTGCGATTTCACCGTGAATCGAAGTCGATTGATCAGTTGGCACGCGTAAAATCTTGAGGGTTACGAGAAAGAGAGAGGGTGGAAAATCCGCGTTACGTAACATCTATGCAATATCGTATCCGTTTCCAACATTTCACAACTGTTCGCAAATTAATCCGAATTTGATCTTTACTGTTGTCGAACTCGCACAAATTTAATATATCGATACGATCTAGCATTTATAAGTTGATCAATTTTTTTCTCTTGAACAAAACAACAAAGGAACACACTTTCTCCCGGATCTCGAAAGCATTATAAAGGAACGGAAGTACTACGGAAATGGTACATTGAAGAGGCGTTCGAAAACAGCTTAACTTTTTTTAATTTCATCAACATCACATTTTCGGTATCGAAAATTCGAAGCTTCCAAACACGGAACGTTTTCGTAGTTGAATCAATCGCTCCTTTACTTTCCCATTTTCAAGGCAATAGGAGGAGAAATTGTTAACTTTCTTATAATGCTTTCTCGCGATTCAATAATTATAACGTCGAGTTTAGACTATATATTTAAATTGTATTAGAATATCTAATAAACTTGAATGAATTAAAACTTTTTTCTATTTTTAATTTTATTCGAAATCTCGAGCGGAGTTAAGTTATCTCTTTCGATAATTAATCCGATCAAATTATGCGTTGATTTTAGATTAACTTTTGTTTATAAAGGAGGAGATTTTATAGATGACGTTACGTAAAGCTATTAACGAAAATCCCCAATTATGCAATACGATTGCGTAGATTTGTACGCACCTACGTCGCTCGTGTCGCGTCATCCGTCTCTCGACCCCGATCCACCGCTGAATTTTTATTTCTTTTTTTTTTTCTTTAATTAACAAATTAAACTTTTATAATATGCACATACATATAAATATATTCTCGATCTGCATCAACGTCATTCCCCGCGCGACGAAACGTGAAAAATTAAATTCATTCGCCTTTCCTTAACAATTATTTATCGGCGAAAAATCCCATGAATATATTTACGAATAATACGTAAATATATATATATATATATATATATATATATATTATCATTTCACAATGATAATTCGTCGCTTTTTGTATTTTTCATAGCGAAATAAAAGGAGAATATGACCTAGGGTATTACGCGATCCGATGCGTGTTGAATTGGAAAAGCACGTGGTGTGGCGCGAATTTCACGCGAGCTGAAAGACTCGGCGCGGCTCGAAGAACCTATTCAAAACGGATGTCCGGCAAGCGTGAGTCACAAGCCCATACCCCACTAGTGGGTTGTTGGTTGTTGGGGTCTCAGCATCTCCGAAAGGGACGTCTATATAAGATACGAATAGCATCGGTGAACGCACAGAGTAACCTCGTTCATGGAGAAAGCGTTTGGTTAGAGAGCGAAACTCGATTCGTCGAAGACGCATTTCGCTGCCAAGTTGCGGATTATAAAAAAATCTTGGATAAGTTTTCGTTGCGACGTGAAGAAGATAAGGTAAGAATTAAACCAGGATCGTTTCGTCCTTCCCTTTTGACTTTCCTCCTCAACTTTCTCCCGTTTTCGTTTTCACTTACGGACACTTAACACAGACAGTTTAAAATTTTGGATTATTTTTTTTAACCAAAAGCATTGTTATACGATATACATATACATATTTAATATTCGTCGAACGAAGTAGGGATACGTGGGAATACCGCGCAAATATTACGCAACAACTTTCACCCAAGTCGAAAATTTTCGAAAAGAAGACATGTGTTTCCTACGTAGGCGTGTAAAAGACGCGCAAAGACCTGCTTGGCGACTTTCTCCCAACATCCTCTCGCTTTCGTTCGGTTGAGGTTTGTCGGTCGGTCTTCACTATTGTTCCAATATCTTTCGTCGCCGCTCGCTCTTTCCTCGCTTTTTAAAAAATTTCTACCGGACGAGTTAAATATCGTTCGACGGGAAAGAGAAAGAGAAACGACACAATACAATCTTTCGTCGATTTTTCTCCTTAGAATAATGCTGAGGTTCGTTTGGTTACTCGGAATAGTCGTTCACACTTTTGCGACGCAAATGCCGGTGAATAATCCCGGTGAATGGTCATGGCAAGCCGATAATCCCGAGAATCCGGGCAAAAGTGAGGCACAAGGGAAAAGAGCTACTTTAAACAGCGATGGAGATGCAAATTCGAACATAGAAATCGTCAATCCTCCCAACGAGCAACGATCCGTAAGTAGACTAAGAAAGTTCTTACGATGATCTCTCTCTATAATTATAACGATCGTATTATTTTAATGTATGTATCGACGTGCCTTCTATAGGTAGAATCGGTGATCGACGAAATTCTCGTGTCTAATCGGCAGGGTCGCAACATCGAGGGTTTCGATCAATTGTACGCAGACCCGGAGGTGAAGAACGCACTTCAATTGGGAAACGAAACGATCGCTCGTACGTACATCAGGGATAAACTGTGCTCTCTAGGATTAATGAACGTAAGTGTATTCTGGATGGATTTAAATAAAAACTCGATCGAAAAAAAAAAAAAAAAACAGGACCTGTAAAAATGAAATACGAATTATTTAGTGCGACAATATCGAGGGACGTCGGCCGTACTACTCTCCTCACCGTGGGATATATCCGCAAGATATAATTTACGCTCAACCCGTGACTATCAAACCTGTCGGCAGACCTCTGCCAGCCATACCTGTGAAACGACCATACACGCCTGCCATAAGACCGCCTGGATTTATTTCCTCCGGACCACCACCGCCAGAAGTGATCTACGGAATTGGTGGTGCGCCTCATCCGCCTTCGTTTGTCTCCTCTTCTTATCCCGCGTTCAAGAAACCTGGTTATCCCTCATTCTCGTCGAGACCTGTGTACGAGGCAGGAGTTGCGAACGAAAATTTCGAATTCGCGGGCAACGGTCAATTGATCGATAAAAAGCAGATCGCGTTGAGACCGACGATCGGCTCGGAAACCGTTCAGCAACATGTTCATCATCATTATCATCACGCGGATGGTGGCGCAACGATCGGTGGCGTCCCTTCGTCTCTTAGTTACGGTGCTGGAAATGTAGGAACGAGTTACGATATTCCCAACTCTGGAGTGCTCGGTGCCGGTTTCCAGGACTTGGATGATTATAAAAAGGCGTTCAAAGTAAAAGGGACGACGAGCAACGATGGTTCTGTGTCGGCGAGCAGTTACGCTGAGAGATATCCCGTATACGAGAAACCGATGCAAGACTTCGATTTGCATGCTAAAGCAGACGGTTACAAATCTGGCAAATATTTTTCACCGGGCAACTACATTTCTCCCAACATCGTTCAATCGTCTTCCAACGATTACGTTACTTCTGGATCGACTAGCAGTTATTATTATGGAAACAACGAAGGCTTCGACAATGATTTTTATACGGAGGATTGCGTGTGTGTACCGTACGGACAATGCCCAAGGGAACAAGCAGGTCGTAAGGACGATTTATTCCTTCCCATCGATCCTCGAAATCTGAACAAGAATATCGAAGCCGAATCTACGGAGGAGACAGCCGCGATGGTGATAGAAAAAAATACGAACGAAACGTTTACCGTCGGGTCGAACGATTTTCAAACTATTACACGGAAGGATGAGCAGCAAACAGAGGAAACGAACAAGGCTCGAAACAAGAGGGAGACGACGACGACGATTGGTGGCGAATCGGTAAACATCGAAGGAAGAAAGAAGTCTAACGGTGAAGGGGTAAGAATGTTCAAGTCTTGTTACTTTGTTATTAGAAGTTAGCCACTAGATAGAATCGTTGATATTGTCGTCGTCGTTTCGTTTCGAATAGCGAAAGTCAGAGGGCAGGGTCCCGGGTTTTTATATTTATACGAGTTATAATTTCGAACGAATATCGAATAGCGTAACGAAATAGCAAAATACGGAAGGTATGTCGGTCTCTATCCACGACTGGTTCGACTCTCTGGTTGCAGAGACTCGACGCTAGCGATCTGGACTCTTCGAAATTAAACCTCAAGCCGACCTGGGGAATCAGTTTCGGTCTACCGCAAACCGGTGGCCCGTACCCGATCAACCCTTACGGTAGCAATGTCCTGGTAAATCCATACAGAGGGTACGGTTCGACCGATCAAGGCATAGATTTAGGCCTGGTCTCCGTGAATCCTCTGCTTGCAGTACAATTCACCAAAGACGAATATGGCGAAAAAGTGGTAAAACCGTTTGTCAATTTTCACGTAACGCCTAATCGGAATATCGTGCAGAAACTCGGGCATCTGCTCTCTCACAAGAAGCAAACGCTGTTCGAAAGTTATGGACCTTCGTATGCGCCGCATTATTATCCCCTCAAACCTATCGAGTTTTACGAGAAACCATATTACGTAAACCCACACGATCCTTTATTCCATCGTTATACGAGTCATCGTGAGACACTTTATCCCCATCGATATTCGGATTACTATCGAGATGACGATGACGATTACGATTACAATTACGATTACGAGGATAATTATCATGGTATCGCGCGTAACAATTATAAAATATCTATCGATCATGCGAATGGATCTACGATTCCAAAACAAACAACTGGTGGCAAAGTTTTATTTCCGAATAGAAGAAAGCGTGACATACAGTCTGAAGCGAGAATGGAAACGAAACGTATAACAAAGGTAAATATTGGCGATCGAAATTGAATAAATTGAATAAAGGAGACAAAATTTTTAAACATTTGATATGTTATACACGCAGTACATATATATAAATAGATATAATTCATTTATAGTTAAACTTCTGACATGATATATATATATATATATATATATATATATATCTCTAAATAAAAATTTGATTTTTTTAACAGAGACAATACGCAGGCGTTGGATCAGCTCGAATTTGTGGTCCAGGTTATGTTTGCTGTCCGCAAAGGCAACCATCGAGAAAACCACGACCCGGTCAGTGCGGAATCAGATATACTCAAGGAATCAATGGAAGAATTAAAACTCCTTCTTACGTTGACGGTGATGCTGAATTCGGTAAGAAATAGATTTTTAAATCTCGATCTCGTGTAAAGCCAACAATCAGATTTAATTCACTTATATTCGATAGGTGAATATCCCTGGCAAGTAGCGATACTGAAAAAGGATCCAACGGAAAGTGTGTACGTATGTGGTGGTACTCTGATTTCTCCTCGATATATCCTCACGGCGGCTCATTGTGTAAAAACTTATGCGGCACGAGATCTTCGCGTTCGACTAGGAGAATGGGATGTAAATCACGATGTTGAATTTTATCCCTATATAGAACGCGATGTAACAAATGTCCACGTGCATCCAGAATTTTATGCCGGCACTCTTTATAACGACATCGCGATATTGAAAATAAATCATGAAGTCGATTTCCAAAAGAATCCACACATTAGTCCTGCTTGTTTACCGGACAAACGCGATGATTTCATTAGAAGCAGGTAAGCATTTTATTTTTATTTATTTATTTACTTACTTTTTTTACATTATTTATATTTACTCACTTATTTCGTTCTTCAAAGTTCACTTATTTCGTAATTTCCTTCTTTCAAAATTAATTTTTCATTGTGGGAATAATATAGATGCTGGACAACTGGTTGGGGTAAAGATGCATTCGGAGATTTTGGAAAGTATCAAAATATTTTAAAAGAGGTTGATGTCCCTGTGATAAGCAACCAAGCCTGTGAACAGCAAATGAGACGAACAAGATTAGGTCCAGGTTTTAATTTACATCCTGGATTTATTTGCGCTGGCGGAGAAGAAGGAAAAGATGCTTGCAAAGGTGATGGCGGTGGACCAATGGTTTGCGAACGACATGGTCGTTGGCAGTTGGCAGGAATTGTATCATGGGGCATTGGTTGTGGACAACCTGGTGTTCCTGGAGTTTATGCTCGTGTTTCTTATTATCTTGATTGGATTCAACAAATTATTAATCGTTATTGATTCATTATTAAAAAAATCATTCGCTACCTCCAATATTTGGATCATATAATTTCATTCATTATTTCGATTTTATTTAAACACATCCACTTTGTTATGTTTTAATTGAACTTTTAATTATAACTTTAATACAATTTCATCATAACTTGAAGATTCAAATATTTTTACGATAATTATAATTTATAATATAATTATAATTTATAATGTTATAAGAATGTATGCTAAGATATAGCATACTAAGTAAATTAATTATAATTATTATTTTGTAAACGATTGATAATTATCGTTTTTTTCGTGAGTAGTGATTCGAAGTAAATTCGGATCGTTAAGTACTGCATTTTATTTGCAATATATTTGTTATATTTTGTTCTAATAAACATTATATAATCTCATTATTTCCTTTCTCATTACTTTCTTTTATTTATTAGAAATATTAATCATTGTTCAATATGAATTTATATTGCATCGTAATCTAAATTTTTAATATAAACAAAAAATCTAATTTACATTAAAAAAAAATGTCTTATATTTATAATTAATTTGCTGGATAATATAAACAATATATTATTCATCATCAAATACTAAATTATAATATGACAAGTAATTTTATAGCAAAAATTAAATTTTTAAATTATATATTTCAAAATTAAAGAAAACACTAGCCATGTTATGATAAATAAATAAAATTAATTATGTAAGAACAAGAAATGAAAAATATTATTTTCATGACTTCTGAACTAAATTTTTTAATCTTCAAGATTATCAAATTAAAGTTTATAATTATATATATATATATATTTATAATTAAAATATTTTGGGATTATTATTATTATTATTAATTATATTTATATATTTTCTCCTGTTTAAAAATTAGAAAAATATTTGGAAAATTATTCAAAAAATTGACACTACTATCTTGCGGTATAAGCAAATAACACTAATAGTCACATAATAAAATAAAAAATTACAAATGTTTTGACTTCTGAATAAAATTTTCCATTTTTTAAGAATACAAATTAAAACTGTGATAGTAATAAATAGTTTGAAATTAACTATGATCCATTATTCTTTTTTGTTTGAAAATTATAAATATTTTTCAAAATTGTACAAAATTGGTTAAAATTAAAGACCGACGCCATCTTTTGAGTATTTCTAGAAATATATTTTCAGCATTCAAGACTAGCGCTAATCCTCAATTCTTAGTTTTTCTTATCTTGTTTCGAGAAAATATTTTAACATTCAGGAAATGGCGCTGATAATCAATTCTTATTCTATCTCTATCCTTTTTCTATTATATACTATCCTTTCTTTATGTATTTTATTTGCGATATTCTGAAGATGGCGCTGGTTTCTGAATTTTTGTCTTATATCTGTCCTTCTTCTACTATTTACTCTCCTTGTTTATATTTAACAAGAAATCTAACCTTATTTCAGTGAAAAAGAAATTAGCCGATTTTAAAAACAAAAACGTACTGAGTGGACAAAATATGGTGATAAAATATATTGGTAGGACGCATTGTTTGAAAGGCAAACCATTGTGGGAAATATTAGGAAATTTAAAGAACAATGGCGTAGGTAGAATGGTAATACGAAGTACTCAACAAAGGTATCCTGAAGCATCCTATATGAAAATACTTAAAGTTGCAGCAGTACCGGATACTTCAAAACATTTTCATGTACATTTTTCTTATAATGATTAATACAATAATTATAATGTAATAATTTAAACAAGCCAATAAAAAAAATTCTATATCCTAGGATCCGCGAAATGTTATAGTATTGGTCGAGCAAGTTTTCCGAGGTAAAAAGCTTTCTACACCTGTACAAATAGATACAGTGACATATAAGCCAGATTATATGTTGATTCCTAAAGATCAGGAGGCAAATTATATAAACAGAACTCAACAACCAACACAGAGGATTATGCCAAGAACTACAAACTTTCCACCTCTTTTGAAAGAAATATTAATGCGTCAAACAAAAAATCTGAAAAAAGAAGATTTAAAATTGAAACTCAAATATGCCCCTTTAGGTATTAAAAACTATAAAATCGCTGAAGAGGGTGAAACTCCTACAGTTAATGTTGATATAGGATTAGGAAAACCAGCAAGTCCTAGTTTATATACAAATATTAAGCAAGAGAACACATCATGAATATAATTTTATATATTCAACGAATCTTATAATATAATAATAAAAATAAAATATTTTTTTAACTAGGATGTTATCCTTCAATATGATCTTTAAACAAAAGATTTTCTTTGCTCCTGAAATTTTTGTGCTATTGATCGATATTTTTCACATTTAATTAAAGCTTCGCGTTCATCTTCTGAAATATCTGTAAAGAAACAAAATCTTAATACCATATTAAGAATCATATCATTACTAATATAAATTTCAAATAAAACATACGTAAAAATTTTTGAGATTGCAGAATATCATTTTTGTCAAAGAGATTTTTCATCGCAATATCCTGTAACGAATTAAATGTAAAATAATTGATATAATTAAAATAAGATACAATATAATACACAAGTTTGAATGAAATAAAAAATTATATCTTAAATATATTTCAATTTTTTTATTATACCAACCTTCCAAAATTGTCTCATTTCTTGAACATCCGTGCGTTTTCTTACAAGCCAACCACGAATGTATCTTTGTATGTGCAATGCCGCTTTATCCTCGGACCATAACCAAGATTTTGGATAATATGGCCTAGGACTAAAGATAAAATAAATAAAATGTATAAAATTTTTATAAAATAAATAATATATATATATATAAAATATATTATATATAAATATATATAAATATGTATATATGCATTTGAGATTTTTTACTTACTTAAGACGCAAATAATCTTTAAATGATGGAATTTGGAATACATTTAGAGGAGGTGAAAATATTTTCGAACGACGTGGATTACGATTCCACAGAATCTCTGCGATATAATCGATACCATTAAAACGACATTTTTGTACCTATTGATGATTTATTTATAATTATTTATACGTATTATTAAATATTTGAGTCTCGAATTTAAATTAAAATTTAAATTAGGATTTAAATCATTATTATATCAATTTAAAAATTACATACCCGAAGAACATTTTGTTTAGATGCTTCGATAAGTGCTTCTTCCAATGCAGGTATTAACAACGAAAATATTGTTTGATCAAGATAATTCGAAGGCAACAAATCATTTTTTTCTTGGATAATGATTTTCTTTTCCATTTTTTTCTTAAAATATTTAGAACAATCGCAATTATTAAAATTATTTAATATTGAGCCAGTAACCGAACTTGAGTCAGATATTTCATTTAAACATTCTTTTTCACAAATATTCATTTCACAATTTTCTTTCGATGGTATAGAATACCAATTTATATCAAAAATATTTTTCTATTCGAATATTGTATGGTATAATTCAGAGAGAGAGAGAGAGAGAGAGAGAGAGCAATGGGATAATTGAATACACGAAAATCATTTGTCAACCATTAATGATATAGCAAACCGTCAAATAACCAGCAAGATCGATTTTTCGATCAAAATTTTTATTATGGAAGGTTTGATAGAATTATTGTAAATCTTTAAAACGATTTTAAAGATTTTTATGAAATTAATCTAAATGCCTGCATGCAAACCATGGTGTCCTTTGGTAAAAATTCAACTAAAAAAAATAGGTATAGTTTATGTTCATCGTTCTTTATTTGAAATATTTTTACTTATCTTTGCTCTTCAAAATAATTAACACAATTTCCAGCTTCTGAAGCACCATGGATTTTAAAGAAAGATCTTCCTCCAAGTGAAAAACCAATTATTGATAAAAAAATTTATGAGCCACCAGATATTAAACCTGATATTAAACCAGATATCAGACCAGATATCGAACCAGATATTAAACCAGATATTGAACGAGTTATTGAATATGAATATGATCCAGAAAAAGTAGCAGAGCTTCGGGAGTTTTATGAATTAGAGCCTAAAATCAAAGAAGAAGATGTGGTAGAGATTCCTAAAATCAAAAAAGAACCAGAAATTATAAAAGAATATCCTCCTGAAGTCCCTGAGGTCGTAGAGATTAAAAAAGAATATCCTCCTGAGGTTCCAGAGATTGCAAAAGAATATCCTCCGGGAGTCCCAGAGATTGTAAAAGAATATCCTCCTGGGGTCCCAGAGATTGTAAAAGAATATCCTCCTGGAGTCCCAGAGATCGTAAAAGAATATCCTCCTGGAGTCCCAGAGGTTGTAAAAGAATATCCTCCTGGGGTTCCAGAAATTGTAAAAGAATATCCTCCTGGAGTCCCAGAGATTGTAAAAGAATATCCTCCCGAGGTCGCAGAAATTATAAAAGAATATCCTCCAGAAGTTCCAAAAATTCATATAGAATCTGCTACACAGTGGGACGTAGACGAGGGTAATTACGATGTACATGATTAAAAACATATTGAAAAATGATAAATCGAATTCGAAATATATCTATAGCTAAATTTTTAGAAAGACATGAAAGAATAGAAAAAATAAGAAAAATAGATAATAACATTTTGATTTTTCCAGAAAAAGTGAAAAAGATGAAAAAAATAAAGCGTGTGGATAAAGAAGAGCCTGTATTATTTCCAGAGGAATGTGATCCATTCTGTCCTCGTCGTATATCGCGAAGTAAATATATTTTATTACATATTATTATTATTGAATGATAAATATTAAAATATTTAATGATTTCTATAGAGAATAGAATACGCAAACTTGAAGAAAGGCAAAGCATCATAGATTCTTATTTGTTAAATAAGGGTACAAGTTATTTCGATGATATTTGTACTTGTTCACTTTCCTGTGTTATTCGTGCCTTAAAAAATGATTCTTTTATCAGAAGTACATTAACATCTCTCGCATTATTTGCAGTTGGATTGAAACTTTGTTCAGAATTAGATGCATGGTATTTACCAATTAGGTTTTCATAAAATTAAATTGAAATAATAAATACAAGTAAATCATTTGTGTAATTAACTCCTTTTGTTGTTATTTTCTTTTGCTAATATAAATCTTCGTTTAACCATATATACACATTTTTTAAGAAATAATTTTACCGAAAATATATTTTCAACAATTAATAATACATCGTTAATTTATGAAGAAAATAATCTAGAAATAAAAAAAACTGCTCCAGGTGAGGCTCGAACTCACAACCCCGGCATTGCTCACGATTCACTGTCTTATAAGTACCGTGCGCTAACCAATTGCGCCACTGGAGCTGTTGAAAATATTTCTCTCTAAGAACAATTTTCAGCACTTCTATTATTGAATTGAAAAAATATATTATATTACAAAGCATTGCATTTACTTAACTATAGTTTGCTGTTTATGATGTCAAAGAAGAAAATTTTACTAAGAAAAATGTATAGTTCTTGTGAAAAGAAAAACTTTTTATGATTGAAAGCATCGATAAACTACATTCATGTGTAAGTACATATACATAATAGATAGATAGTATAATTTGTAGGCATATCTTGTTGGCACATCGAAATATACAAATATTATATTAAAAATTAATAAAAAGTATCGAGTATTTTTTATCATTTATAAAATTATTCCAAAAGAGAAATAGAATGCAAGTATGCTATTATCACAAATACTTAATAAATTTTATTTTTTCTATATCTTTTCTTCTTTTTATATATCTTTATATATAAATTTTAACAAATAGATTAATTTAATTATTATAATTTATGTAAAAAGAATATTTATAGAATATGTTATCGTGTATATATCAATATTTTCATTTAATATAATAATTAGTATGAATTCGTGATAAAAATAATTCAAGATCATTTTATTCTCAATTTTTTATTTTTTTAATTTCATTAATTTTATATTTTACAAAATTTTCTAAAACAATATGCAAGTAAATATGTATAAGTATATATAAATTTATAAGTAAATAAATTTTTTTTCTTGCTTAAATTATTTAATTGATATTATTAATAATTAAATATTTTCTTCATAAAATAAATTAATACGATAATGTTAATAATTTTAAATTAATATCAAGTATAATATATGACAATGTATACGTCAAAATATAGTGTTAAACGCTGTGTCTTTTGCTTTCTTATCGTGAATTTTTAGCACGAAAATACAAACAACTTCCCATTATATTTCATTTTAATTATAAATTGTGTAATTTTTTTTAGTTTATTATATACATGGATTTTCAAGTATATGTGAAAAATAATGTCAAATGTAATATAAATATTATTTTATATATTCTAACCTCTAATTATTATATTGTTTTTTTTTTGTTCTCTTCTTTGTAAAATTTCATATAATTTTTTTTGTATAAATATAATTTTTTATATAATTTTAATGTAGTATAATAAATGTTTAACAAAAGTACATTATTTTAGTATTATTCATTTTTTTTATATTTATCATGATTATATACTTCTTAGATATAATAAAGAATGAGCTGGTTTGATGCCACCGGATTTGCCAATTTGGCTAAGTCTGCTTTGAAAGAAGCTCAGAAAACAATTGATAAAGCACTAGATATCAAAGATGAGGATCAAAAACCATTGGAAAGTCATACGGAGGATACATCAGATTTTTTTGCATCATGGGGATTAAAAAGTGATGTTCATCATGATGTTCAGCCACATCGTGATAAAATGAAAGAATCCAAACAAGAAGCTACAAGTAGTATATGGGGTAGTTTTACTGGATCATTTTTTGAATCACCAAAATTTAATGAAATGGATCATAATGCAAAAGCTAATACTCATTCCAAATCTTTACAAACTACACCTATTGAAAATGAAAAAAAACTTGTATCTTCATCATCATTTTCAGAAGATTATAAAGTTAAATCATTGAATCCTAGAAAAGAACCTAAACAAGCAGAAATTTGCAAAGAGAAAAATATTCATGATCAAAATGTTTTTAGTCAAGATGTTAATACATGTAATGATTTAAAACAAATTTCATTAGAAACAATTGATACAAGTATAACTTTTGCCAAAGATGATGAGGTTAATGATTCAAATAGTAATATAAATAATTCTAAAATAGTAGAATATTCTTCAAAGGAAATGAAAGATATTAATAATAAAATGGAAGATGTAAAAATGAGATTTGAAGACAAAGAAATTCGAGAATATGATTCAGATTCTCCTATCTCCACATCCAATAGATTATCCTTTGTATCTCCAGAAAATGATAAGAAAAGTTTGGAAAGTGTTGAAATTCTTGGTTCTCGATCGAATACTGAATGTAGTACATCTCCCGATTCAGACAGTTGTTCTGTTAGTAATTTAGCAAGTCCAGCTACAGGAACTAAAGTTAATTCTGAATCTGTAGAAATTTTACCAGATAGTTTAGTAACATCCCCAAGTTCTGTGGAAGTGTTAGGAGATTGGAAAAGCGATACCAGTCCTTATTTATCTCCTATAGATCAAAAAAATTCTGATTCATCATCTATTTTAGATCGGGATGATTCAGTGACTCCATGTTGGGATGATATCAATGTTCCACAACTTATAAGTAAAGAAAATGTGATAAATCCATCATCTTCTGATATTTCGCCATATGAATCTCCAATGGAAGAAGTTAAAACATTGCATGAAAATTTATATATAAGCAATATGGATGAACAATCATCAACAGAAACATATCTAGGAATCGAATCACATTTACATAAAAGTCTATCCAGTGGACATTCAATGAAAGTTTTATCAGAAAATGTAGAAACAATATCTTATACTGATGAGAAAGATGAAGTAAGCTTAGCAGAAGATTCTTATACTTCTACATCAGAAAGTACAGTAATAACAATGTTAGAAACACTTCAGCAAAAAGAACAAGTGAAAAATAAAGTGGAAATACCTACTAGTGTTTCACCAAATGATAAAATACATGATTTGTGTTTAGATAGTAAACTAACTTTAAAAAAAGCTAATACAGATACAAAACTGGATTTGAATCTTGATTCTTTAACTGAAAAACATAATTTACATTTGCCAATTGAAGCAATTACAACACAACCGATCCGTAAGCCAGAATATTTTGATGGAGCAGGTAAAATATCTGAATCCGATCGAAAGAATTTCGATCGATTAATAAATTCTACTATAGAACCTGCAGAAGCAGAACATTCTATTGAAATTACTTATCTATTTAAACCAGAAAAGATAGAAGTTTTAGATCAAGTCTTAATTTCAACAGATTCAAGTTGTGAAGGTACTTTAATAGAGAGTAGTTCAGAAGAAAATCCACAATTGATTCATAAATCAGAAGGAAGAGTTTTACAAGCACCCTTAAACTCTAGTTCCTATGTAAAGACAATGCTAGAAGATGCAATGATTGAAAAAGGAAGTGAAATTATTGAGGCAGAAATACAAAGTACAGAAATGCCTCGAGAAAATTCTCCTATTTCATCAGAGAGGTATTATCTAATATATAAGTCTTTACAATATAATTATAATTATTTCAAATATAAATTTGATTTTATTTATTGTAGTCGATCTGATTTAGTAAAAATTGGGTCAGATCAAACCAGTGGTCATACTAGTGGAGATGAATTGGAAACTACTACTTCTAGCGATATCGAAATTATATCCAGGTATAGGTATGACTATAAAATATTATATATAATTATATTATATTATATTAATATTATATTAAATATTATATATAAATATTATATTATATTAATATTATATTAAATATTATATATAAATATTATATATAATTATGTATAATTTTATTTTATAAAACTACTATAGAACCTACTATTGTATATATAGTTTACAATTATAATCAATTTTTTCCGAGTTTAATAGCAAATAATTTCTTTTTAAAAAAGTCCAAACGGTGATTCAAGTTCTATACAATCACGACAGAATTTGGCAAAACTGCAATCAACAAAAGGCGGCGATCTTTTATTGAAGACATTAAAAACTAAAGGACATTCAAGGGAACTGAGTGAAATTAGCGTAGGATCTGATGAAGCAAATGTTGAAATTGAAAAATTATTAAAACGTATACAAGAAATGACAGAAATATTAGAAGCTAGAGAATCAAAACTTATTGATGTTAGTAGAATGAATATGGAATTGCATGAACAAAATAACAATTTGAAAAAGTAAGTTCAAAAAAAGTATGTATGATTAAAGAATGTATAGTTATTCTTTTATTTCTTTAGAATATTATTATGATATTATCATAATTTTTTATTTATATCTTTTTTCTTTTTATATAGACAACTTGATAACTTTGAAAAACATGCAGAGCAAAACCAAAATATAAATCAAATTACTGATGAATATACGCAACGACTTTCTGCCTTAGAAAGAAAATTTCAACAAGCAATACGAGAACGAGATTCATTAAGAAAAAATTTGGAACAGTTGAAAGTAGAAGCAGCTACGCGTTTATCGTCTCAAGAA